GCTCATCAGGGTCCCTCTTAGGAACAGTGCTCTATGGGAAGATGGCTTAGAGTACAATCAAGGGACATTCTTTCTACTCTCTCAGAGGAACATTCCTGGCATAATAGAAAGAGTTAGAGTGTGGGACAGGAGATAGGGTGGCAGTCAAAGGGTGAGAGGGAGGGTGCACAGGTGTGACAAAACCTCCTGAATTGTCTGTTGATGCTAAACCTAAAGTGCCAGGGGCCAGGTAGATCCTGAGAAAGGGACTGAGCTCGGAGGAAACTTCCACCAGTCAGGTGAGTCCTTCATTTCAAGGGCCTATGGACACTGCTCAGGGCTGAATAAAAGGCCATTTTACTAAGGCAGGAAACAGAGAGAAGAGCAGGCAGGTGGCTGAAAAATTAGTAACAGTGTTATTTTTTTCCCCTAAATATTAGGGCAGAAAAGTTCAGAGTCACTAAAATATGAAAACGAATTGATATTACCTGGAAAGTTGCATATACCAGAAGCACAAAAATTTACAGTCATTAAACCAGCATTCCGGGGCAGGGAGACAAGGGTAGGGTGGGGTGTGTGGCCAGCAAAGGGATTTTTTTCACCTGGGGCCCTGCTGAAGGCTCAGCCATCAAAAGTCCAATAACATGAAAGATGACATTTTTGTTTATTACAGAGCTAAAGTCAATTTTAGGACTGTGAAATATGACTTTAATAAATGAATACACAAACCCATAAGGTCCAAATCCCAGCAATGGTGAAATCTGAATTTGACTCCGTCCACAGGATCTTCCCGCAGGAGTGAAGCCTGAAGTCTTTGCTCCCATCTTTGAGTCTCTTGAGGGTCCTTTTTCTCCTTAGTCTACCCCTGAGTGTGCATATTTGAGTGCTTGAATCTGGGCAGACACAGGAATTTAGGTGTCTGTGTGTGCTCAACCGTGCTTGTGGTCACATGAGTGCCCAGAAATGGCTGAGTGTACACATGCACTTTTTCCAGCACTGCTCCCAACACATGAGTGATTTGTCCTCACAAACCTCAGAGCCAAGGGAATGTGAGGGTGATGGAAGCCATTTGGAAGTCTCTGGGCAAGGCTCCCTACCTAAGAAAAAACCCAAAGTCCGCAGAAGACAAGCCCACCAGCGCAGTATTGTTCTTCAGGGATGGCTTCCTCCCTTTCCTTCTTTTCCCTCTTATTTCTGTTCCTTCCTTCTTCCAGCCACTTCAAACCTGACATGCCTCTCCATATATGATCTACTTTACATTACAGAGAGACCACTTCTGGTCCCCACCTGTTCCTCTTTCTATTTTACATGTGAGACAATTGGAACCCTATATGATAGATGATGGGGCACAGCCTACATCACATAGTTAGAGAACAGCAGGTTTCCAGAATAGATATAATGCTTCCTCAAAACAGAAGATGCAGAGCTTGGAGCTGGAGAACTCAGTCAGAATTATGGGAAATCTGATTTACTAATAATGTCTCCTATGCTAGAAGGCTAGAGCTGCTGCCAGCCCAAACAGGGAGCTTCTGTTCAAATACATGGGATACAGAAATAGGCCTACCACAGGGCCAGGGAGATGGGAGCTCATCAAATATTCTTTCTTCCCCAATCTCCATCAAAGAGCAGGGCAAATGGAGGGATGGTCCCTTTTCTGGGTCAACTGTCCTGTTTAGTATACTTCAAGTCGTGACCCTACTCACAGTAGGCTCTAAAAAAGGTTGTCTGATTGAAGCCTAAGGCCTCAGTGGGAGTGTTTGTGAGTTTGTGGAGATAGCAGATGTTCACACTCAGTGGTACACTGGGAACACTACAGACCAGAAATTTCAATTGTGGCTGGAGATTTGTCGATGCTTTTCTATGTGCTGCTGAACTTCATAGTGCATCTCAGCCTCATTCACATCAGAGTGCAGCAGACTAAGGCCCGGGAATCAAAACTCAGCCATCAGCCATTGTTACATGTAAAACTTTATTGGATCAGCTACATTCATTCATTTACATATTGTGAATGTCTGCTTTCATGGTGCAACAACAGAGTTAGGTAGTGATAACAGACACTTAAGGCCCACCAAACTAAAACATTTTCTATCTGGTGCACAAAAGGGATAAGCCAAAACCACTTGTGCCAAGTCTAAATCTCTATAGACTGTGTAATTTAGCAATCCCAAATGGTCCCCATGATGCACAAGAATTCACCAAGATAAGGGGAATAAACCTTGGCTATCTCAGATAAATCAGGAAGCTGGGATACTACTCTCTAGGATATTACCTCTGTGCTATGATGTTCACATGCTGAGGTCAGGTAAAGGTCAAACTTCCATAGCAGACAGTAGATTAAATACTAATATGCAGATTTCTTTCTGGCTCCCTAGAATCCTACTTGACTGGCTCTATTTCCTAAATAAAGATACCACAGAGTTTTCCCAAATCCTGGACCATTTCACCTTCACCAAAGAGTATCTCACAAAACAACTAGAACAAGTTCTTCCTAAGATAGCAAAAAGAATTCCCCTCATCCATGAAACTGTGCCAGTACAAAACTGGGGGGTGACATCCCAAGGGCGACTTAGATACCCAGCATGCGCTGAAACAACCTATGTCACATGGGTATTTTATAATGTAAATTAGTGATAAAAGCTAAGCAGCGCTGGTCATATATAATACACAGCCTTAGTTTATGCCACACCTTGTGAAAATGCGTAAAATGTACAGTCTGGGTATCTGTGCACTTGACTCTGGTGCACAAGGAAGAGAGCCTATGCTGGGTGTGACTTACAAAGCACACAGTGAATGTAAATGTTATAACCTTGTGAATTGCAAATACTGTGAACTCTGAAACATAGCTGACACCATGAAGCCAGAGCAAGGTTTGTGGACCTGGTACTACTTAAAAACCTCTTTGCAAGGGGAGACAAGACAAAGAACTAAGGAGGCCAAAGGCACCTTTCTCAAGACATCTACAATAAAAAAAAAGTCTCAGTGTTAATGATACACATGTTAAAACCATTATATTCTCTTTTTAGCCACTTTTCTTGATAAGACATTACTGCTCTCACAGAGGGAGTAGGTGCTTTACCTGATACAAAATGAGTACAGTCCACACTCATTACCAGACAGCCAGGCTCTGCCTGACTCACCTCTGCATTTCTAAGAGGCTATTTTGTACTGCGCCTGTAACATAGCACTCAATAAATGGTAGGCACCATCACCATCATCACCATCATCATCATTATCATCATCATTATCACCATCCCCTCAGCATCACCATCGTGACCATCATCATTCTCTCCCCTCCATTCCTAGAGGAATTACAGGAAAGGCCTAACAGAAGACAATGCAGTCACTCTAAAAACAAATCACAAGCCACTGGAGATAAAACGGGAAATAGATGTGGCAAAAATCTAGGCTAAGTACTGAAGGTAATTGAGTATTAAATGCTGATTTTTAGTTGCCAAAGCAAAGAAGAAATAGGGCTAAAACTGCCTCATTAACGTAAACAAGCCAGCTCAGGAGAGAACTCGGTTTCTGAACACTGACTGGCTGAAAGAGCTGCAAACTGGGTGTGAAACTCAGGGCCATCTAGGAAGCCCTGGCCACTCATCTGCATCCCCAGAGCCATCTAGGAAGCCCTGGCCACTCATCTGCCACCCCTGGGTCTATCTTCTGCTTCAGACACCAGAAATCATCTCCAAAACGCAGATTGGTGGCCCTTCCTTACTTGAGAACTTTCATCATTGGGAATGGGGACTGAGAGGGTATACAAGGGAGTTCGGGAGATGAAGGAAATGTTCTAAAAATGGATGATTGTGGTGAATGCAGAACACAGTAGCTTTTACTTAGAAAAGTCGCTAGATTGCACACGTAAACACACATCAATTCCATGATTTGGAAATTTTAACTAATGATGCTTTTTTTAAGAAAAATTTCTCAATAATTTCAACTAACACCTGTCTGGAGTTGTACCCCTGCAAACACTCTGGGGAGTCGTGTGGGTCTGTACCACTTGTTTTCATCCACAGTGAGCTAAGTAGGGCAAGTAAGAACGGGGTTCCGAGCAGACATAACAATCTGGCATCACAATGACATAGTTTAATGTGTCTTATAGAAGTATTAGTCAGCAATGAATTAGGAAAATGTGGTCCTTCCTTCCCAACTGGACGCTTGTGAAGCACTGCTCTAAGATGGGCTTGTTAGCCTGGCCTTCAAACCCCCATGACATATACATCTTCTATAAGAGACATCCCTGTATGTCTCTTCTGCAAGACATGCTTAAAGGACTTAGTTTCTGTTGGGCATGATTACGTACATTTGAATTCCAGCACTTGGGAATCTAAGGCAAAAGGATTGATATAAGTTCAAAGCCAGCCAAAGATGTATTGTGAGTTCCAGGACACGCTGGACTATAGTGTGAGACCCTGTCCCAAAATGGGGGTGGGTGGGAGGACAACCACCAAAAACAAACAATAATAAGGAAACCAAAAAGAAAGAAAGAAAGAAAATGTAGTTTCCAGATGCCTCAAAATCTCTCAATCTCTCATGCTCCGTGTCCTGCATGATCTTCTTTCTCAGATATTTCAAATGTCTTCCCCTCCCTTTCCAATCTATCTGAATTCAACCTTCCAAATCGGGCCCAGCTGTCTTCTCATCTTAGCCACTACCCTATTGCCCCCTCAACCAAATAACCTGCACCTGACTAGTCAGCTTACCTCTCCTGACCTCAACCTTATCACGTGTGGAATCCAGTGGTTAGTTTACAAGAGGCTCCAGGGTCTGCCTGTCTCCACACGAACCCTGCTATGCTGCCACTGCTTAGTGACACATGGGTCCCCTCCTGATGACCTCCAGGGAGGCAGGGGCTGTGCTGGGTCCCCTCTGCATCCCTGGAAAAGTGTCTTCAGCAGGAGCTGAATGAGTAAACAAATCAGGTCCTTTCTAGATCTCTACCCACTCTAGGAAAGGCAAGGGGTATAAAGATACGTAAGCATTAGCTACTAGAAAGAGAGCAAGGTTAAGTGACATACCTGGTAGAAATGAGGCCAGAAGGTGCTGATGGCAAGCTCTGCCTTCACCCAGCCCTCGGTGACAACCCCAGACACGTTCCAGACAGGGTTCCCTTGGGGACCACCGTTCACCTTCACGTAGACATTCAAGGCTCCCGGGCTGGAGCGATCTCGGCTGGAGAAGTAGTAGTGGAAGTCAATGCAGTGGGTGTCATTCTCCTTCAGGGTCGGCAGAAGAAGGTGCGCTTTCTGGCCGGAAGCCCTTCCGGAGCTGTTCACCATCATGAAGGAGCCTAGAGACCCACAGTGGGCATCGGACAGAGACAAAGAAAGAAAATGCCCTCTGAAAACATGTCACATCCAGACATGATACCTAATAGGGAGGCTGGAAATGAGGTCCCACTTCAGCAACAGGTTAGGGTGACTCTGAGAAAGCCATATTCCTTCTCAGAGTTCTGAGAAGGATTTCCATAACTGGGGCTAAAATCCCTCCTCATGGTGGCACTGGAAGAATGAGGAGATCAGGAGATCAATGGTCCTATGCAGGGAGCATTTCTACCTGGTCGATTGCTTATTTCTAAGTGCATAACCTTAAGGGAGGCAAGGGATTAAAAGCCTCAGAAGGGAGTCAAACAGAGTGCCTACAGGTAACATGGGATGGGGAATAACCTCACCCAAGACAGGGTTTGTCCCAGCTGAGGCAGAAACTCTGTAATATGGGAGGGTCCTGTATATGGACAGACTCCATCTGCACTCAGCATGGGAGACTCCATATTGAAGGAGACTATATACAAATAGAGCATATCTGTGGAAGAAATATAGCCCTCCTGAAAGTATGAGAACCAACTCTTAAGATGCTCAAGGAGGAATGTGAAGTGAGTAGCACCTGTAGACTCATACTAGCAGTAGGTAGCTATTGGTAGAACATATAACTCCTAATAACTATAACTGCCTCTAAGAATATCAAGGCTGTGCCATAGACCTGAGCGAGCCTCTTTCCAGCTGCCATGACAGACTGAAATTGTCTCCTGTTCCATATCCCTCTCTGGATCCATGTCCTTTGGCACTGACTTCACAATTCCCTCTGCGCAACCAGAGGCTATCTCTTGACACCAGGCTCCATTATGTGACTTGTTAATACAAGCCACACAGGTGTTAACAGGTGCCATTCTAGACAGGCTTGTCTTCTGTCACTACTATTTTGGTGATAAGAAGCTGATGTCAAGATTAAGAATTAACATACACAGGAAGTCTACGAGTAAAGAGCCAAGCCCCACCACTTGAAAGCAAGGAGCACAGCCATGTGGCCAACATATCTAGCCCACATCAGTCAACCTGCAGTCGATGCATGGATCCGTGAGGATAAGAATCAATGCCCACTGCTGTTTGCCACCGCTTTCCTCCTGAGTGTTCCTACAACATTGCTGCGACAGCGGCTAATTGATAAAGCTTCCCGAGAACAAGATGCAGATCCATCACAATGAAGAGGCACATCTCAGCTCGTTATGCAACAGATTTTTATAACGAGTGAAATTTGTGCAAAATGGAATCAACCGCCCAGGGACAAAGTGAGTCACTGCAGGTGGCTCCTCAAAGGCTGCACCAACTGGGATATCAAAGGGCATTTCCCAACTGAGGAGAAAGGCTGAACTCTGCAACTTAAAAGTCTTATGATTCTCCGGAATAAAACGCACCATAAAACACAGTAGATAAACTCCACTAATGCTGGGATAAATGTTTTCTATTCTGAAATCCAGAATTGCTTTGAAACCTTATTGTGACCACTAAAATCTTCATTCTGAATGAAATCTTAAGACCCCTTATCCCCGGGCAAAATGAGCTGCTTCGGCAGCCATAACTCGCTTTGCTCACCCTGATACCAGAAAGACTAAGGAGCTGCAAGGTAATAAGGCTGCGCCATCCATATCTTGTTGGGGTTTTAGGCAGTACAGACCATTTGCACCTTGTCTCCTGGGTTCTGAACCAATTTACAAGTGGACACAGAAGGGAGATTATATTTAAAACCTCCATAAAAATCATTCACAAAGCTGGATTAAAGAAAATATCAGTCTTGAAGATAAATTAGGCTTCAACCGCTCCTCACATTCAAGCATTAAAAAAAAATAACCAGATGCCCTGAAATCATCCCTAACTCAATCCAGATTCCTAGGGGGGGGGGGAAAGCTATTCTTCAGGGAGATGACTGAGGGCAACAGAATAAGCTCATATTAAAATAAACAAACAAAAACTCAACAAGGAAGCCAAATAACAAGGACAGAGAAAACTGCGGTCAGATTTTCAATAATCTACCAATCAGAAAACTTCCCCAGCTTCTGGGTTACTATCCAGCAGAAGAGGAACAAGAGTGGCTAGTAATGTAAAGAACCCTCCTTCATGACCTGGCAAGAATGGAGGCAAAGTAGAAAGATGTGTCCCTATTACAGATGATATCTGGTTATCAAAGGCCCCCAATGAGCTAGCCAGGAATAAAGCACTAAAAGGGGGCCTGAGGCTCAGAGGTAAGACTGAGTCAACATCCATACCTGCCCTTGCTAGTCTGCATGCAGGCTCCTCACGGGTCTCCTTGACAGAGGGCTGATGGCCCACAAGTGCCACAAAGAGTGGTGGGTTCTCTTTGCTAGTGAGCAACCATGCATCTCCCAGGAGGAGAGGCAGCCCAAGAGGTGAAACATGCTGAACTCTCTCCATCCCAGGTCACAAGATGGCTTCTGGATATACCCAGCTCCTGTCCCCCTGCCAATCTACACCACTGCACATGTACCTGCCTCTTCTTACACTCCACAGCAGAGAAAACCAGGGAAAGTTCCTTCCAGAAGCTCATGCCCACATTTCTCCTCTTCCTAGCTTCAGTAGCTGAGCAAGCCTGCAGAGAACGTGGCATTTTTCTTACTTAGTACAGCCTAACACAACTCTGGACACAGAAATAGTGTTCAGTGGGGCTACAGAACTCTGTTCCAAAGAAGTCTGGGTATGGTGTGCACCTGGTCCATGCTTAATCCTTAACAACTGGCTCCCTCCCATGCTCACATCCATCCTTCATTATCTTCTCTTCCTAACAGACGGTCCTTCATTCACAGCCTCAGCATTCCAAGAGTTTGGAAGCCATGAGAATCTCAGACCCCTGCATGCCTCTGCAGCCTGCACCTACATTTCAATCAAGAGCCCCGGTGATAGTGCACACATACATTTCTATCACGAGCCCCAGTGATAGTGCACACATACATGAAAGTATGGGGGTGACTGGTCCCTTCTCTAATCCTAACCACACTGAATTCTCAGGATTTCGAGAATCCAGGAGATGGTAGAGCCCCAGTGAAAGAACCAGAGTAGCCACGACTACACTGTAGGTCAACCACCTGTCAGGAGCCTCATTTTGGACGCAAAGGGGTTCTTTAGAAGGAATACACTATAATTGGGTTACGAAGCCAATGAAATTTTGAGGTTTATCTTTCCACAGCAGCGTCATGATTTGGGCTCCTCAGCAAAACCACCCATTATCTCTCTCCAGCCCCTTTATTAAAGGAACTGAAAGCATAAAGCAAAGTTACAAGATGCTGCAAGTCAGGATGCCCATAAGAGAAGCAACCCTGGGTGGTTTGAATTAGAAGGAAAGGCTCAAAAGTACAGAGGCGGAAGCCACAACAGCCATAAAAGCAGGAATAGTGTCTTCCGGGACATGGGATAATGTCCTGGTGGCCCTCTCCATGACAGATCTTGCCACACCCTCTGGAAAAGCAAGAAGCCATATTTCTGAGTCCTTTGAGACCAGGCCTGCCATTTCTAAGATTATTCAAGTGTGAGAGCCCTGTTCTGCAGCGGCGCAGTGGGGCCCTCTTTGATCAACAGGTTGGCATAATTAATATCATCCCAAGGCTGTCGGTTTCCTAGAGATCAAAAATGAGGCAGTCATTATGCCAAGATCAGTCAAAAAAAAAAAAAAACAAGAAAGAGGAAGACTGTAAATACAGTCTTTTCCTTTGCTCTAAAAAAAGGAAAGTACCAATGTGATAAGGAACATAAAACAGCATTAGTTTCCTTATAGTTATTATACACAACACTGAAAATCGTGGAATTAAACCAGGAAGTACTCTCTGGCTGGCCATAAATTCTGTGTTTTCCCTCTCCGTGCATAATAATGCCTTGATAAGCGCCCTGTTACTGATGTGTCTGCCACACAGATACCCTTTTAGGAGGCACCGCGCTTCTCAGAAGCAGATGGCGGCTATTGTGTTTACACATGAGCACCTCAGGATTGCATTTCCTCACGTCGGCCGTAAAAAGAAAGTCCTAATTGAGTTTTTAATGGCTTTGCACGTTGTTCATTAAGATTACATGAGTGTGCTTGGGCGACTGGCAACCGAGGGCCTGCAGCTCTGAGAACAAGAACACGAGGGGTCCCTGAAGACAGGTGGGCTGCCAGCTTCGAGCGCCAGGACCTGTGAAGGGAGAAAGGATAGAGGCAGATGCCCAAGAGCTGCTGAAAGCCAAGCAGCTGGAGCAGCGCGGGAAGGGTGCTGGATCTTCACCAGACATCTAGCTTTCCTTCCGGGTCTTTTGTTCACTAGAAATGAGACTCTGAGAAAGTCCTCAGCCCTCAGCAGCCTCATCTGTACAATGGGGTGTGCAAAGTGACATGGAAGTCTGACATTCATTTCAGTGAATACTGAAGCATGAACACTCCTTGATTTGGTGAAGGTGGCTTTGACAGCAGATAGCAAGTCGCCGGTGACGCTAACCCACGAGTGACACTGAGAATGCCCTACACACCAGGAATTGGTATAAAAACCATTTAGCAGCGCCATCTGGGGAAACACACCCGGAGCTGTACGCTGGAAGGAAGTCAGTAACTCTGAGTCACAGGCTTTGCTGTGTCATGTGACCTTGGACAAGCCCCTTGCTTCACACTAGGTGACTTTATAAAATCACGAGGTTGGACAGAAATCTCATCAACACCTCTTTTCCCTGGACCGCGTCAAGCAGGTCTCTTGAACTCTCTCAGCTTCTGTCTCCTCCTCTTTCAACTCAGCCATAAAAGCCATTTTGTACTGTATTCACAAAAGGATTACCTGAAATGCTAAAAACCACACTTCTGAGGGCCTCAATCTTAGCTTCTTTCCTAGCTTTCCCACTGTCCCAGATCCATAGAGCAGGAAGCGCTTACCACACTGGAGAGAAATTAGCAGGGACTCAGAGGCTATGGACAAGGCTTGCTGTGCAATCATGAAGACTGGAGTCTGGATCCCCAGCGCCTGTGTGCCTGCCTGCAATCCCA